GACGCAGGACATATTACACTTTATGCGGGAATTGCAGGGGGGGCGGACGTTATTTTAATCCCTGAAATTCCTTATAAAGTTGAAAATATTGCTCGACATATACAAAAAGTAAAAAATTCAGGCCGAAACTTTGCTTTAATTGTAGTATCAGAAGCCGTTAAAACAGAATCAGGCAATGTCTCCACGATTACTTACGATGGTGGACGTCCCCGCTATGGAGGCATTAGCCATTACCTATCAGAGAGCCTTGAGACGATGACTGGTGCTGAAAGTCGATTCATTGTTCTTGGCCATGTGCAAAGAGGAGGACAACCTATCGCCAGTGATCGCGTGATGGCTTCTGTTTTTGGTGTCCATGCTGTGGACCTCATTGATAAGGGGCAGTATGACCGTATGGTCACATGGCAAAGTCGCCAAGTTTCGGATGTTCCTATCGAAAATGCGATCAACGAATATAAAGCTGTTGAGTTAGATAGCCCCCTCGTTAAAACAGCACGTAGCTTAGGAATATGCTTGGGTGACAAGTAAAACTTTCTTTGTTTCAGCCATATTGTCAGAAACAAAGAAACAATGCTGATCAAAATTTTAAGGCACTCAACTAAAGAACGATGATGATTTACCTGCGTTTACTATAATGTTAGCTTGAGTATGTAAGGGGTCACTTCTATACCAATTTTCGCAAGGTAAGAGGCCGAGGTTCCAGCAATCATTACGATAAGAACAGCCGCTTGAGCAAATTTCTTTGTCGTGTCTGCGATATCTTGAAGAACTTTTGATACACGCGATGATATTCTTAGAACTTTATCATTGTCATCTATCCGACTCGTCTGGATGGATCCTGGCCTTTTTGCATAAGCCCTTTTTGAAAGTTCTTCTTCCGGGACCCTCTGATAATATCTCTTTTTGAAAGATCTTTTTATTTGCCTGTCACCATACTTTGCGTATTCTTCATAAAATGAACTAGCGTATGATATTGAATCACAAACAAATAAAAATAACACAAAGAATGCTAAATATTTTTTCATAACGGAATCCTTTTCTTGTTTGTTGTCATCGTACAAAGAAAACAGTTAACAATTTCTTTTTCTAAATTTAGATCAAATCTGAACGAGCAAAACTCTTGAGAAAGGTTCATCAGTTTCTGACTCATCTACGTCGACAAGACTTCCCGGATCTATAGATTTTAGTCTCCTCAAGAATGCTTATCTTTTTCGCCTATTTCGCTCGGCATATGGCATGTTTTTTTACGTATTATCCCTCATTTTTTGAGGTATCGATGAACCGAAAAAGTTTTTAAAACTTTATTCTACCTTTTGCATGGATCTATATTCTCAATGGCTAATTTTCCAAATCTATTACTTAGTCAATACATTTAGATTTAGATAAAAACATAGGAAACAATGATCTTCATCTTTGCAACAAATCCCTTAAAGTTGAAGGGTCTATGCTGTAAAATTAAGAAACCTTAAAAAAATAGGTTTTTTTCCCCATCCTTTTTCTATAGCCTTACCAGCAGATGTTTTATGCAGCTTTAAGAAAGTGATGTGCTATGCAAAAACCCCTCATGCCAAAATCTACAGCGCTTTGGCTGGTGGACAACACAGCCTTAACTTTTGAACAAATTGCTGATTTTTGTGGTCTCCACACGTTAGAAGTTCAAGCGATTGCGGACGGTGACGTTCTTGTTGGAGCAATTAACTTTGATCCTATTGCTCAAGGCCAAATTTCTAAAGAAGACGTTAAAGACTGTGAAAAAGATCCCACTAAACGCCTAACACTTCTCGAAAAAGAAGATCCTCTACCAAAAAAACAGCGCAGTAAATACACACCTGTTTCTAAAAGAGCTGATAAACCTAATGCGATCGCTTGGTTGCTAAAGCACCATCCTGAACTTTCAGATGGACAGATCTGTCAATTATTAGGAACAACGCGAGCGACGATTCATGCAATTCGTAATAAAACGCATTGGAATATTAAAAATATTCGCTCTCAAAGCCCCGTAACACTTTCTTTGTGTTCAGAAAACGATTTGAGTGAATACTTAAAAAGGGCTCAAAATTAACTTTTCTCACTATTTTTAAAAAGAATGGCTTTTCCGCGTTTAAGGAGAAAAAATTATGCTTAATCGTTCTGTTCATGTTTGTGATCGTGTTTTACGCCGCTATACCCCTGACCCCTTTTTATTCGCTCTTCTTTTAACAGGGCTATTGTTTGCTTTAGGCGTTTACATGACACCTTCTAGCGCAACAGACATGGTACGTTATTGGGGAGATGGTTTCTGGAACCTCATTCCTTTTACATTGCAAATGGTCATGGTCCTTGTTGGAGGATATGTTGTTGCTGTTGCACCTCCTGTTCAGAAAGTGCTGAGGCTCCT